TTCTTCGTCTGACAATTTGCTCAAGTGCCTTACTGAAATTTGTTGCAATTCAAATTCATTTAACAAATTTTGATAAAAGTTATTAGTTCCTTCTTTTTCGTCTATTTCTTTCAGTAAATCGGCCATAGTTGGTAAAGCATTTGGACTATATTGATTGGCTTGAAATTGAAATGGACCGAATTGTGTTGGTGTATAATATGAGTTAAATGACATTGAAGATGGCATGTAATATGAGTTATATGGGATCAAAGGTGGGGCATTATACAAATTAAATGGTGTCAAAAAAGGTTGAAATGCGAAGGCCTGGAAATCCAATTGCTTTGCAATAATGTTTGCGGTAACGGTATTTGTGGTAGCATAGGTGTTTGTGATGTTTGTGGTGATGGTATTTGTGGTAGCAGAGGCGTTTGTGATATTTGTAGTGATGGTAATGTAGGAGAATGTATTTTCTTAGAAGATAACTTGGTATGAGAAAAAAGCAGATGTGTTGGAAAGTCTTTAAGTGTGCTTAAACCTTTATTCTAAAAATATATGTTATACATATAACTACGAACCAGACAAATTACGTATAATTTATACAATTAATTCAAAATAAAAATTACCATATCTGATGCCCATATCGAAAGCATCATAAAATTAATTTCTACATATAAATCTTTATTACTTTCTTTGTTAAAACAAAGTCGATTGTGTATATTACAATGGTATTCTTTTCGAATTTCTAGAATGTTCTCAGCCATTGCCTTTTCTTGTATGGACAAAGATGATACAGTTGGAACTTTATTACTATTTTTGTGACTATTGTTATCTAAATTTGTATTCTAAACTATTTGTATGTACATATATATGTATGTACATATACATATATAATGACAATTTAGTAATTAATTATAGTAATATATAATATAATACATAAAAACTAATTACCTTTTCATTCTTTTTTTGCTTGATTGTTTGTGTGATTGTTATGTAAATTCCTATATCAACTTTTTTTGTAGCCAACTTTAAACAATCAGCTTTAAATTTTAAAAAATCTTGGGTATCAGCTAATTGAGTACCCACACCAGTTTCTCTCTGTGTTTTAAATGCAATAGTATAATCAGTGGTATGAGGGTAATATCTTTTGTCAACATAATAATTTTATTATGAATCGACGAAAGAAATTCATCTACAGTTGACAACGATTTCTTGAACTATTTTGCTGGTAATAAACACCCTTCTGCAGTTTTAATAATTAATTTATAACCTATTTCTAATTCAGTATCATCATTACTAATTATTGCTTCATCTTCATCAAATATAACAGATGGAGAAGGTGATGAAAATATTTCCTAGAAATAGAAATAAAAAAAAAAAAAATTATAAATGAACTTATATTATATGTAATAAAAAAAATAAAATTACATTGATTTCACTTATAGTTTCACTTATGGAATCCATCCTCATATCCATTACTAAATCTGTAGCTTCATTTATTACTACATCTGGTGCTTTATCTGTTGTCTTATCTATTGCTTTATCTGATATTATTTCTAAATCTGTCATTTTATCAATTGCTTTCTCTGTTGATTTTTCTTTAGTTTTGTTAGGATTCAATTTGAGTAAAATGTTGTGATACCAGCCACAAAGAGAAAACTTAAAAGGCTTTTTTAAATTTATTTGGTAATTATACTCGAAAACTCTTCCATGAATATATTCAAACTTTGGAGCAGCCCAAGTAGGCTCATATTGACGTGTATATGCCTGCTTGACATGAATGGTTCTATTTTTTTTGTTGGGACTGAAGATTTTTTACAACAGCACGTGATCTGGTGCAAGTCTACTGCACAATACAAGCATTTCCGGCATCCAAAGCAAGTTCCACGATGATATTTGAGTTTGGTATTTAAA